TGCCGGGGATCCGAACCTGCAAACCCCGGGCCGCCAGCAGTGGATTGCGTGCACTTAATGACTACGCCACGGGGCCGGCCCCTCTTACGTTGTTTTTATCTGATACTTACATATTGATAAGTCTGGCTTATATATACATATATATTTTTTTAAAATTTTTTGTGAGGAAGATTGGCCCTGAGCTAACATCCAATGCCAACCCTCCTCTTTTTTTTGCTGAGGAAGATTGGCCCTGAGCTAACATCTGTGCCCAGCTTCCTCTACTTTACATGGGACACCGCCACAGCATGGCTTGACAAGCAGTGCGTTGGAGCACGACCAGGAACCGAACCTGCGAACCCCGAGCCGCCGAAGCGCAGCGTGCACACTTAACCGCTTGCGCCACTGGGCCGGCCCTGGCTTCTACTTTTAAGAGTTTTACGGTAAGTTTGCTGATTTCCTAGAACATTTAAACCTAATCCTAAAGTCTGTCTGCAATCTAAGTCTTATTTTCTCAGTCTTCAAAGGAGCTGGATACCATCTTTAGACTAATAATTCTGCAAACACTAGAAGATCTTGGCACAGGCCCTGTCTTTGTTTGTGATCCAAAACAATTATAATGCTCAACTTCATTTTCTCACACACATGTGATAGCTAGTCACTTTCATGTTTTCCTATGTACCTTCAAGTTTTCCATATTTTAAGTTGTAGAGCAAATTTGGAGACAGTGCTGAAAAGGTTACTGGGAGAATTAAAACTACTGAGTTCTAAATTTTGATGTTCTTATAACTGAGTGAAAATCTATCCATATTCAATTTCTGGGTTACTGTACTTATCTTTTACCCAGTTCCTTAAACTTTGTATTGTTCTCATCACAGCCACCATTACACCTAGAACTCTAGCCATGTAATGATCCCCTCCTCTAGGCAGGCATGCTGTTAAACATCCTACAATGCACAGGACAGCCTCCACAATGAACAATCATCTAGCCCCCCAAAATGTCAACAGTGCAAGGTTAAGAAACTCTGGCCTAAGGCTGGCCCGGTGGCTTAGTGGTTAAGTGCGCGCGCTCCGCTGCTGGCGGCCCGGGGTTCGGATCCCGGGTGCGCACTGACGCACCGCTTCTCTG